GAAAATCACAACTGGTTCCACTCAGGAAAATAGGGCTGTAATTCTATTCCAAACATGTTTTCAAAGAACTCAAAGAGCCCTTTCCTCCAGGGCACAGTAGAAGTGATTCTGATTAACACTCCCTACCTAGAGCAGAGAAAGGTTCTCAGGTGAGGCATCTAATGAGGTATTAACAATATACCCTTAAAGTACAACAGTCTTTCCTAAAAACCTGGAGAATCTGAGTCGTAAGGCTCCCTACAATTGTAATAGACTACTGAACCACTTTTCAAAAATCTGGTTTGTTCACCTCACACAGTACCACTTACAGCTAAGAATCGCGTCCTGATAAAAAGAATTCAAGTGGCATAATTTCCAATTGGTTGCAGTCCGAGGACTTTTAAAGGGAACTGAAAGATGAATGGGCACTTACACATGCGTATCAAGAAAAACGCGGGCCTTGAATGCAGAACCCATAAGCTCACATCATGTACAACATGCTTAAGGCTATTTTATAAAATATGCCAAGACCCACAACCCAGAATGGATATGGATGACCTATCAATATGCCATCAACAGACTAAAGTTAATACATTTCTTTTAAAGCTTAGAGACCAAAATTCACAAGATAATTCATTCACATTCATTCACTGAGTATTTACTGAACAACTAAAAGAACTGAGCTAGGTACACAAGAAAAAAAGAAAAATAGACACATGTACAATTTCAGAACAGCATGACCCAAAAGGAACGCCAACAAGGTGCTGAGAATACAGAGCAGTCCACTCCAGCCAAGAACCAAAGACAAACTTACCAAGGAGGAACATCTGAAGTTGGCAGTAAAGGAACGAGCAGGAATAAACGAGAAGAGAGAGTCGGAGACACAAACACAGCACTTGAGGCAGAAGAAAACACACGTAGAAGGAAAGGGACTTTCACAAGGCCTAAGGTATCTGAGAAAGGCTATAATGTGGAATGTCTGGAAGGGTGTGTGTGGTGGGCTCAGCGGTGCATGGCAAGGAAGGCTGACATATATAATAAAGGTTCTTCTATGCCTCAGTGACTCTGGATTCTGGTCTCTACATAGTAAGAAATCAAGAGGCCTGGTGTGGTGGCTCACATCTATAATCCCAGCATTTTGGGAGGCCATGGCACAAGGATTCCACAAGCCCAGGAGTTTGAGACCAGCGTGGGCAACATAGTGAGACTTCACATCAACCAGCAAAAAAAAAAAAAAATTAGCCGGGTGTGGCAGCACATGCCTGTAGTCCCAGCTACCTGGTACTTGGGAAGCTAAGGTGGGAGAAGCGCTTGGTCCCAGGAGGTCGAGGCTACAATGAGCATGATTGTGCCACTGCACTCCAGCATGAGTGACAGAGGGAGACCCCAACTCAAACCAAAAAAAGAAAAAAGAAATCAAGAGAGATTCCTAAGTAGGGAAGGGACCTGATCAAATTGGTTTTTAGAAAAACAGACAGTGTTAAGAAAGAACCAGAGTCTTTGACCTGTTGTTGCCGGGAGAGAGGGTGAGGCTCTGAATGAGAAGGTTCTCTGCCATCTGTCCTGGTCCCATATAGTTGAGAGGAAGAGAAGACATACTCCATCTTGGGAAGGGGCACACCCGCCTTCCCCAGTAAGGGGAGTACAGATGGTAAAGGGACACAGGTGGAAAAGAAAGCTGGGAGAGAAACTTAGGAAAGGAAAAAGAGCAAAGTTAAAGAGGATGAAGATACATTTCAATATTAGATTTATTTAAAGTGACTCTCCATGTTTAAGAGGAAGTAGAAAATTCAGATTTGACCTGTAGGTGGAGGTACAGAAGACGCCAAGTTAAACTGAAGGTGACAGAAGAGTGTTTAACATACTTAGGTGGCCATTTTTCATTGAATCCTCACTCAATGCCTAAAAAAAGTAGTTTTCCTCCCATGTTATAGATGACCATTTGCAGCTCCAAGTTATTAAATGATTCGCCAAGGTTTCACCACTATCAAAGACGGGCCCAAACAATGGTCCAGGGGGCAGCTTCACTCCTTACCACCACCCTGCACTTTTTAAGATGAACGAGTTCTGCAAGTTTACAGGTTGGGTGAACACAGAAGAGATGAAAATAATGCCGAAGGTGGGGGAGAGCAAAGCTAACCTTTTGAGGAGGAGTGGAGGAGGGGAGCTGATAAATGAGAATGAAAGGGAAGGAGAAGAATAGAGACAGTGAAGTCCTGGAAGCCAAAAGGTCAAAGCTTAGAGAAAGTATGGGAAGCCAAGTGTAACACACTCCAGGGTTGAGGAAGCTGTGCACCAACAGCAGACCTATCCCTCCCACACACCTCTCTGCAAGCTGAAAGTCAGCAGCCTGGGTCACATGGAGACCAGACAGACTGAGTAAGTAACATCTTCTAAGTAAAAGACCACAGGCTGAGTCCACGCATTTACTTTTTGTTCCTTCCTGAAAGCCCACAAAAATGTCAATAAGGGTTTTACGTTTTAAAAACTCACTAAGAAAGTAAGTGTACAAAGAAATTTTGAAAGTGGAAAACAGATGATTAGGAACTAAAGGGATCTGTAAGAGCTGAATTCTAAGGCAATAATGAAGCAATCCTATTCAGAACACAAGATTCTCCAAAGGCTGAGGAACTGGCAGTAAAACGGACCTTGAGAAGAAATGAGAGAGATGACAGGCAAAAAAGAGGTGTTGGCGGTATCCCTCTGAGGAGCAGTTAGTTCTTCAACTCTAATTCCAGGTAACTGTTTTCTTTGAGACAGTCTTGCTCTGTTGCCCAGGCTGGAGTGCAGTGGTGTGAGCTCAGCTCACTGCAGCCTCCATCTCCTGGGTTCAAGTGATGCTCCTGCCTCAGCCTCCCGAGTATCTGGGATTACATGCTTGGCTGATTTTTGTATTTTTTAGTAGAGATCAGATTTTGCCATGTTGGCCAGGCTGGTCTTGAACTCCTGACCTGAAGTGATCTGCCCACCTTGGCCTCCCAAAGTGCTGGGATTACAGGCATGAGCCACCACGCCTGGCCACTGTTTTCTTGGTTTTGGTCCTTGCCACACCAATCCCGATCTCCACACTGAAGACACCTGGGATGACGGGCGATGTGCTTTCCTGTAGATTCTCATAGAAGAGGCCTATGGATGAAGTAATCAGGGTCTCTGCCAGAAAGATGCTACAACAAAATCAACTGGGTGTACACTGTTAAAAAATTTCTAAAGGCAATTAGATTTCCCGATGAAACTTTACCCACTGCATGCATTCTCCCTTGGACAAAGTGGAGCTTTAGACTCTTCAGAGGGTAACAACAGAATCCCTGGACCAAGAGACACCAGCCATGATGAAAGAAGTACTGAACTGACAATGGTGGTGAAGGGTTATGTAAACATTACATAATAATTAATGTTGAGGTGCCTCCCCCAGCCTTCTATCCCCACTTACGCTCCCACAACTCTAACTACCAGGCTATTATTTGAAAAACCTTTTACTGGAGAAGCTGACCAGCCTGAGAGGAAAGACTTAAAGGCAGTGCCATCAGGGTGCCCACAAACTAGACAGGCAGGAGAAATCACTTTCCAACACAGGATCTATTCTCAAAAAGTCAAAGAACCCTATGCCCCAACTCATGAACCCAGAGTACCAGTGAGCTTCTGAGTGCTCCACTCTTTAAATGTAAGACCACCTAGGATCCCCAAACATCAGAGAAACCTCCAGCATAAAAGACAGCCAAAACAGACCGCTTATAGAAAACAAGACCAAGCAGGGAGGGGGAAAAATATCAAAACAACCCTTCATATCCTCAGAGAAATAACAAAAAGTATTGCATACATAAAAAAAATCAGTATGTTTTTTAAAAAGTAATAGAATATGAGGAAACAAAGGGCTCTTAGAATAAAAAATGTGATAAGAGCTAAGGACTGCAGTCATTCATAAACATCACAGAACTACTTGATGTTTCAAGCTGCGTGCACTATGGATACAATGAAAAGCACAAAGAAACAGAAAAGAAAACATGCAGGAGAGCTGGTGAAGTGGATCCCACACACAGACCTTGGCTGCCAACCTTTTCAAAGCCTCCTGTGTAGGAGGTAGGGCGGACTGCTGGGAGATGAAAGAGCAATGTCTGAACACCTCTACAGACAGAAGAGAAGGGGCAGAGGATGAAGTTGGAGGGGTGCAGTGACATGCCAGTGCTCACCAATCCAGTGGGATCTGGGCTCTAGTGGAGGCTGACCCTTGAGAAGGTATATAGCACACTTTCTGAGGTGGAAACCTTGGGAAGGGTCAGGAACAAAGTGACTCACTGTGGAGTCCTGACTGAAGGGAAAGAAAATCTAGGAAGGGACTAACTGGGAGGGGTCAAGGGACCAGAGCATCCCACAAAGGACAGACTCAGGGGAAACAGGACTGAGATGATTCTGGGTCTCTAATGGTTGCCTGTGTTTATCCCGCAGTCATTCTTAAGACACTGAACATGCATCTGCGAGGGGCTGGGCACTGAGGACAGAGACAATAAAAACGAAAGTGTCAGCTCCAGTCCTGAAGTAGCCCTTGCATGTGTGTCTGTGGGAAGAGGAGGGGAAACAGATAAACTAAAGCGGCTCTAGAACAAGTTCCAGGTGTGGCCCTGGTGATAAGATTCCAAAGTGAAGTACAGGAAGATAAGGCTAACCAGGTGAAAAAGAGGATACAAAAGCCAGGCACGGCGATGGCAAAGGCTGGGTGGAATAGGAGGACAAGTCAGAAACTCAAGTCATTCCTGACAGCAGGAGAGTGACAGCCAACAGTGCTAGGGACACATGTGCAATGGTGTGAAAGGAACAAAGCTTTCCAATGAGGCAAAAAATTAAAACACTACATAACATGAAGAAAACGCAGATCTTATCTCCTGGCCCTAAAATATTTTCACAGATCTAAATATAACATCTTAGGGCAGGATCTAAGAGATAATGAGATACATTAAACGGGGTGTAAGAAACGGAAATGGCAACTGAAACTGCTAGATTACAGTACAACTATAAACATTACCAACCTTGACTGATCTGCAGAGTTTCTGCCATTACTGGGTCAATTTGTAGTCGGGATAATAATTGCCTCTGTTGAGTTCCTAGAATATAAATTTTAAAACTTCACTAAGCTTACAACACAGACAATACGAGCATGTGGTTCCCAAAAATCAATCCTTCTGGGTTCTTAACTGAAAGTCTTAAAAGTAACTTAAAACTTCAGCAATGAAATTTTATACTATTTATGGACCAAAGAATATCCTGTAAGACAAAAAAGGCTGAACTCAGGGTTAAACTAAAAGTGCCAATGTAAGACACTCCTGGTTCTCCCTCTGTGGGGATATCAGTTTTCCTGGATTTGAATTCTGTGGGGAAAATAAAGGTGGTAAAAGGGTGGAAAATCCAGGGAGAGGCACCTTGTGGCCCAGCAGCTCACATCACAGCCAACTGGAAAATAAAGATGGCAAGCACCTCCCTCCATCACCTGGGCTCTTACCATCACGACTCACTCACCCATGACCTTTGAAGGTAACAAATAGCAAAACAAAACACTCTAGAATCATCTAAATATAAACTTCCTAAAAGACAAACTATGGGCTTCAATGCACGCTAAGAAAACAAGACACTCAGCTGTGGAGTCCACACCAGATGTCAGGAAGCATGATAGTAACTGTTTGGCTCTCCCACAAGAAAAGATGTTCAACTACTTATTTCTTCTAAAACAGGTTCATAACATTAATTCCTAATATTAGGTTCACAATTTCTAATAATAATATGCTCAGCAGTCTGCACAAAATAAGGTCAAAGAAGTGATTTTATCTTTCTTCCATTTGATGTTAAGGTCCTTGAGGATGGGAGAATGTCACACTTTTCTGCAACCCCCACAGTGCTTAGCAGACATCAGACGCTCACTTGCTCATTATTAGGTACTGCACTACAGTGCACAAAGGGATGTAATTGACAGGGCTGCAAATACTGAAATCTTATTAAGATGCCCACATCCTAATTTTTGGTACATCCATTGCAGGTGGCTTCACAAGGACAGGCTTTGCTTACACAGTGCGAAGACCTAAGTGGGCAAGCTCCCACCAAACACATTTCATTAAAAGGGGTTTTTAAATTTTAAAAGATATACCCAATTTGAAATTTTATCAGTTGATTTCTTTTAAAACATATGGCATATGACATTTTATTGGTGCATCCCAAAAATGTGAATTCCTTCCAGAATTATTACCGAAAAAAGCACACATTCTGAGGAACTGTAACCAAGATGTCACTTAGGTCAAGCTGTATTCCTGTGGGAAGCTTGGAGAACTGAGCTAAAAGGTTACAGGAAGAAGGCTCTTTCGATCTAAATACTGCAACAGGACTTCACATAAATAGTAGATGATGAAAGAATTAGGCATTTTAAAATAACTTCACACAGATACATGAAAGACCATTCTTCCACATTTCAAGTTTTGCTTTATTGCTCTAGGTTCATCTATCTTTTCAAAACATCGTTTTAGAGAGTTCAGTTAAAGAGGATGGAATTCTGATCAATTCTAGGATTCTAAGTTAAATCAAGCAGAATCCAAATTTGTCATTAAAGGTCCATGAAAAATTCAAGTTCTCTGTAACTTGCTCCCTCCACATCAGAGCTACAGACGTGGAAAGATACAGATCAAAGGATGGGTACCTAGAAGACATTGTATATTAAGAGTTTACCTTTCTCAACGTTTCTAAGGAAACCAATTATTTTTATATATCAGTAGGTCTTGACTGTGATTAAGTAACTTCTTCTTTAAGATCTTCAGGCCGGGCGCGGTGGCTCACGCCTGTAATCCCAGCACTTTGGGAGGCCGAGGCGGATGGATCACGAGGTGAAGAGATCAAGACCATCCTGGTCAACATGGTGAAACCCCGTCTCTACTAAAAATACAAAAAATCAGCTGGGCATGGTGGCGCATGCCTGTAATCCCAGCTACTCAAGAGGCTGAGGCAGGAGAATTGCCTGAACCCAGGAAGCGGAGGTTGCGATGAGCCGAGATCGCACCATTGCACTCCAGCCCGGGTAACAAGAGCGAAACTCCGTCTCAGAAAAAAAAAAAAAAAAAAGATCTTCAAATTGTCTACTGTATTCAGATGTTGTTGAATATTCACTCATTTTAACCTCAAAAGATGAAATTTTTGCTTCATTCTGGGACACTCTTAACATTTAGACCAAACAGATTTGCTTCCACTGTCAAAATAGGAGCTTTCATTCCTTTAATTTCATTGATATCAGCTGCTATTTTCCTTAAAAGGGAGAAAATATTGTCTCATTCAGTGAACGAGAGGAGCTTGTTACGGAACCTAGGTCCACTGGCTCCGATGGAAGAAAAACTGGTAGAGGTGGTGATGGAAACTTCGAAGACATTCTCCTAAAGGTGATAGAAACCTCAAAGACATTTCGTAAAATTCTCTCTCTCCCTTAAAATCTGGTAATTTTTTCTTCACAGCTCATTAAGCTATTTCATCAAAAGTAAAAGCAGTGATCAATGCTGCTACCTTAAGAAGTATCAAAAGCAAATAACATCTTAACCTATAACCTAAAAGATAGGGTTGTACATTTCCAGAGTCAGATCTCAAAAGTAAATGTGAAAAGCTAAACATACCAGACCAATTGCCTCTTCGCTACAACTAAGAAGCCCTAACATGCAGGGCCCTCTATCCTCTAAGTCCTACCATACATATAGCTCCTCTTCCAACAAACCCTATTATTACATACAAAATAATCCTGGTTTCTGATTGGCTGAAACAGACATGTGACCCACAAAGAATTTTCTTTTATTTACTTCATGTGATGAGAACACTGAAGAGCTACAATGTTAAGCAATATAACATCAAGTGCTTTACACCTAAATATGATATGCATTAAATGTATTTTTCCCCTTTCATCAACTAAACCATAAATTTTTAAGCTTCAGATTTCTGAATTGTTTTGAGTTGTAGTTCCCCTTGAAATTAGTATATAACATTACTGAGACTGAGAAATCCTTTGGAGGGAGAAGGCAGAGAAAGTAACTGGACCCATGATCCAAACAAACATCTTTAAAGATAAATGTGGTAATAATGGAATTCAACTTCACTAACACAGTATCGTGTACCTTTAAGGATGGAGAAATAAGAACTCAACCTTGGCTTAATACTAGACTATTATTAGACAGATGTTTCTTAAATATTCCTTCCCATTTTGTGGGTTGTCTTTGTTTTTGTGATAGTATCTTTTGAAACACAAAAATATTAAATTTTGATGAAGTTCGATTTATCTTTTTTTCCTTTGGTTGCTTGTGCTTTGGTGTCGTATTGAAGAAATCATTCTCAAATCCAAGACATATCTATTTTTTTCCCTAAAAGTTTTATAGTTTTAGATCTTATATTTAGGTTTTTGATCCATTTTGAGTTAATTTTTGTATACGACATAAGGTTCCAACTTCATTCTTTTCCATGTGGATATTCAGTTATCCCAGCATCATCTGTGGAAAAGCCTATTCTTTTGTCAATAGACTCTTAGCACCGCTGCCAAAAATCAATTGGTCATGAAAGTATGCATTCATTTCTGGATTCTCAAATCTGTTCCATGGGTCTGAATGGTCATCCTTACGCCAGTACCAGTCTTGATTACTCTAGCTTTGTATTAAGTTTTGAAATTGAGCAACATAACCTTGCTAACGTTATTCTTTTTCAATAATTTTGGCTATTCTAGGTTCCTTTTTATTCCCATATGAATTTTAGGATCAGCTTGCCAACTTCTACAAAAAAGCAACCAGGGATTTAAAGAGACTGAGTTGAATCCATAGATTAACTTGGGGACTACTGCCATCTTAAGTATAGTAAAGACTTCCAGGCTGGGCAAGGTGGCTCATGCCTGTAATCCTAGCACTTTGGAAGGCTAAGGTGGGTGGATCATGAGGTCAGGAGTTCCAGACCAGCCTGACCAACTTGGTGAAACCCCGTCTCCACTAAAAACACAAAAATTAGCCAGGCATGGTGGCGTGGGCCTGTCATCCCAGTTACTCGGGAGGCTGAGGTAGGAGAATTGCTTGAACCTGGGAGGTGGAGGCTGCAGTGAGCTGAGATCTTAAGATTGTACCACTGCACTCCAGTCTGGGCAACAGAGTGAGACTTTGTCTCAAAAAAAAAGAATAGTAAATCTTTCCATGTCCTTAATTTGAGAAAAGGACGTTTTTACTTTGGTTTACTCCCCAAGCAAACACTTAAGATATGAAACATATAGGGATGCAAGCTGGTAGATGCTGCTCACTACAGCCTCTCCTAAAAGAATCCTGGCTGGGCACGGTGGCTCACACCTGTCATTCCAGCAGTTTGGGAGGCCAAGGCAGGTGGATCACTTGAGGTCAGGACTTGGAGTCCAGCTTGGCCAATGCAGCGAAACCCTGTCTCTACTAACAATACAAAAATTAGACAGGCCTGGTGGCACGCACCTGTAATTCCAGCTACTTGGGAGGCTGAGGTATAAAAATCATTTGAAACTGGGAGCCAGGTCTTACAGTAAGTGAGATCACGCCACTGCATTGCAGTCTGGGTGACCGAGTGAGACTCTACGTCTCAAAAAAAAAAAAAAAAAAGAGGAATCTTTATAAAGAATTGTAGTCTTTGGTTTCGTAGTCAAATAGATGTCACTCACAATAATAGAATCAAGAACATGCTAAGTGCTGGAATTTATAAAATAAAAATCTGTATTCAGTCCTCCACTATATGAATCAGTCTTCAAAATTCCAGACAGAAAGTAATTTTCAAAATTCAAAAGGCTTTGGATTCACAGACTTTTTTTTTTTTTAATAGAACCAGCTGACATAGGACATCCACAGTAACTATTAACAGCAAGACACTTTCAGCCAAGTACCATCTGCAAACCAGCTGGCTCACTAGAGGACAAATAATCTCAAGCGAAAAAGTAGGAAAGACGTCTAACAGAACGGGTCGTAGAGAAACAAGAGCCCATCTGATGGCACCTGTACGCCCACTGTGTCCAGCCCAACTTTAGAATGGAAAATAAGCAAGGACCCTTCCTAAGACTCCAATATAAATATTCATCAGCAGAGAAAGTTTATGTATT